TTTACTCTGAGCATTCATCAATGAAATGTAAATCAGACCCAGCATCCGAACCAAGTCTGGTACTGTGCATCCGAAGATGCATCATGAAGCATGTCTGGTCATCAAGTACTCATAGTGACATTGCTAAAAAAACTTTAACTTATACTTTAAAAACATTGACCTCGACGCATATTAGATTTAAACACAGCATCTGAAACCCGACAGGTGACAAGGACTTACTGGTCAAGGGACTAGATGATATAAAAAAATATCTGCTTGAAAAATATTTAACTGGGAACGCCAATACCGACGGTATTAAGAAAACTCCCCAGTTCTGTGTAATTGAACTAAAAATGTGACGTTAACGTTATATGCAAGCGACGAAATAAGTATGGAAACAAGCTAATTCAGAGAATTCGTGTCCCCCGCTTAGGGAAAAAGTCGGACCCCCTGACTGAATTTGTAGAATTATTAAATGTATACATGCAGACTGAAGCAAATAAAATACATGTATGTCAATATGCGTATAAAGATTTGATTGCTTATTCTTTATTATTTGTATAGAAGATTCTTTTTATATGGAATATTTATCACACTGTAATGATGATTTTATAACCTCATAAATTATTCTTTTCACATGCTGAATACTATCATTTAAAAAAAAAGAAGAAAAGTAAAAAAAGGGATCGTCCGAGAATCGATCCCGGGACCTCTCACATTCGAAGCGGGAGACATACTATTAGACGACGGAATCGCTACACATTAAGTGAAGTATATGCAGAAGTGAAGTCACATACATGTATATATTCATGTTCGGTATTGTCAAAATTTTACACAATCCATGGTGTTTGATTTATTTAGCCTTTATTAAACAGTTCTAATAGATGTAATAAGAACATAAAGTCTGCCGAGAACCTGTTTTATACGCAATAACTCTCCGCATGCCCCTGTGCTAAAAATAGCGACAGGTAATACGATAAATACTAGTAAAACAAACGGGGCGGGGCACTTTGAGAGGGATGAGAGAGGTCCTAGGGAGTTTTGGTATAAAATTACATTACATAAGCTCAAAATCTTCTTGAAATATCGCCCGGAAATGATAGTGTTACACACAGACAGAATGTATAAATTTACGACCTTGAACTTTGACCTTTTGACCTCAAAATCAATAGGGGTCTTCCTTAGGCCACTGGGAGTTGTTATGTTAAATTTCATTGCAATAGCTCAAATGGTTCTAGAGATATCGTGTGGAAACGACAGTGTTATAACAGACAGAATTTGCTTATTTTTTACCTTGACCTTTGACCTTTTGACCTCAAAATCAATAGGGGGCTTTCTTAGGCCACAGGGATTTGCTATGCTAAATTTCATTGCAAAAGCTCAAAGGGTTCTCGAGATATCGTGTGGAAACGAAAGCGTTACAGACAGACAGAAAGACGGACGGACAGACGGACGGACGGACGAACCCAAATTAATATCCCCCACTTTTCAAGCGGGGGACAATAAAGATAGTATCCGAAAATGTATTCTATTTTCGAGAATTATTTTTGATTTTAAAAAAATGTGCTACTCTTGGCTTAGTATTTTAACCTGGTGTATGAATAAGTAACCAGAAGGTTCTAATTTTAGGTATGCAAATTTTAGACAATTTTCAATTTTTGGATATGAAGTGCACAAGCGACACTCATCATATTGTAAACTATTAGTGTGCAGGGTATATTTAATAACTGGGAAAAACTAGGTGAGTGTCCCTCATGCACTTCATATTCTAAAACTCGATTTATTAATGCAACCCTCTTATATTTTCCCATAGGCCTAATGTTAACGCACTTGCGGCTATATCTAAGTTTGTGTCGGCTACGGTGGGCATTTATCTCATATTAACTTTTGAAATATTAATAACAAAAATTAAGATATTAATCTTTAATTCTAAACTAATTTTGAAAAAAATAAATTGAAATTTATTTTTATGAAAATAAGTGGGCCGAGAAACGGCCTTATCGAAACTCCCCCTTTAGTAAAAGTTATCTCCCGTTGGCCACCATATTGGAGGTCGACTCGGTGATTATTTTTCTCTGCGTCTTACCGAGTTTAAGAGGATGTAGCAGAAAAATTTGGTGGAAAATCTTTATCAAATATTTTTTTTTCAAATAAAGAAGGCTTCAAAACATTTATATACTTCATAAAAATATTGATTCCTAATCTAAAATAGCAAATATAAAAATTTAAAATTGGTTGTACAATGAAGGAATATGAGCATTTGGACCTCCAATATAGCGGCCAACGGGAAATAACTCTTGCTAAGTCGAAAACTATCTATACATACGTACATCTAGATTCTTGGCCTTTCCAGTTAATCATGTTGCTTTTATATGTATCCCACTTTAGACGAAGGTGTGTCAAATATTCATCAAACTTAATACACAAGTAACTGAGTTATTCATTCATACTTTATTCCGTTCATACTATTCCTTACGAGTTTGACCTTCCCATGACTTTGGAATTCACAAAGTAATAAGTATTTATTGGTAAGTGCAACTTTGTCTTCTTTTTTTTACCTTGACCTCATTTCTCATTCTAAAGTTGCCTAACATCTAACAAAATCTAACAGGATAGGGTAGAATCCTTCTTGACAACTAAGTGGTCTTGCTTAAGTCTTGTTTAAGGCGTCTCTCAGTATAATGCAGCAATTTATCAAATAAAATTTGTTACTACTGTTACAAAATATATGAAAGCGTATTACTGCCATGTGTTTTTTTTAAAAGATAGTTATTCCAATTTAAAAGTTGGCTTAACCTTTTCCAACTTTAATCTTTATAATTCCAACTTTAAAATTGGAATTTCCAACTTTAATGTTGGTAATAAATTCTAACTTTTAAGATGACTTTTTCAACTTTAAAGTTGGTTATTCCAATTTTAATATTGGTTTTTCCAACTTGAATATCGGTCTTTCCAACTGTAATCTTGGCTTTTCCAACTTTAAAGTTGGTAATTCCAACTTTAATCTGGACTTTTGTTATATTAAAAGTTTAGACTTTATCAGATAAACTTCCATGGAATTAACAGATTATAAACCAAATAAAAAGTGACTATGGACGGACCCTAGAAAATGCGAATTGGGGGCTGTTCAAACTTTTTCACTAGCAATCAACATTACCATAGGTGCTTAATTTGACTACTTTGCAACAAAAATATGTTCTAATGTAGCCCTTTTATGAGGTCGATCCATAGATATATAGACTTTCAGAAAAGCATATCGATCTCGTCACTGATATTATATACATGTATATAAATTTTTAATTATGTTCCCCAAACGAAGTTGGGGAACATATTGTTTTTACTCTGTTTCTTATTATTATTATTATTATTATTATTATTATTTTTCTTCTTCCTGGGAAAATTTTGTCCACGAGTGATCTTGTAAACTACACATCCGACTTAGGTGAAACCTTTTTAGGGTCAGTAGGCATGTTATGTAGAGTTGCCAAACAAAGGTCATTTTGCGCGCACGTGCTTGCAAGAGCGCGCACGTGCAACATGTGAAATTACCAATATAATGGATATTGCCGTAACTTTTCTATTTTTTGATGAATTTTTTTGAAACTCATAATGTAAGGATACATTAGTAGTATAGACAAGATAGCATGGTCAAAATAGCAAGATCTCACGCGCATGCACGTGCGCTTTGCTCTGATTGGCTGAAATTAAAGTCTCAATAACTTTCTTGTTTCTTGTCATAATCCTTTGAAATTTTGAACATAGTCCTACATTATGAAGATCTACCACATGATATATAAGAATTTTCATGAAAGCATGCGCATGTGCGCGTGCTGCAAGCTGATTGGCTGAAAATTTAAATGGCAATATCTCCTTTGTTTTTTGACGAAATTCTTTGAAATTTAAAATATAGTCATGCATTAGAATATCCTACAAAATGATATAGAAAAATAATCATGAAATCACGCGCATGCACGTGTGCTGCAATCTGATTGGCTGAAACTTTAAATGGCTATTTCTCCTTTGTTTTTTGACGAAATTCTTTGAAATTTAAAATATAGTCATGCATTAGGATATCTACAAAACGATATAGAAAAAAAATCATGAAATCACGAGCATGCACGTGTACTGCAATCTGAATGGCTGAAACTTTAAATAACTATTTATCCTTTGTTTTTTGACGAAATTCTTTGAAATTTAAAATATAGTCATGCATTAGGATATTCTACAAAATGATATTTAAAAAATCATGAAATTACGCGCATGCACGTGTGCTGAAATCTGATTGGCTGAAACTTTAAATGGCTATAACTCCCTTGTTTGTCAACCAAACAGGATGGGATTTAGAACATAGATAGATGTAAGGGACTCCTACAAGAAGGTATTATCATAATGCACGTGCACGCACCTGCGTGCATTTGAAACGAGTATATCTAAAAATACTCTTGAATGAGTGATTTTTATTACTTTTGGACTGAATGCTCTAATATATAGTATATTGAAATATATAAATAGTGTAGACAAGATGATATGGTCATACGCACATGCATTCACATGCGCTTGGGTGCAATGCTAAAAGTTGAATATAATTGATATCCTTCTGGGAAAACATTGTTAAAGTCAAAAATCCACAGAGTTTGTCTTATTTAATGAAGCTTACAGGGGATATGGCACCGAAAGGGAGTTGGGGAGCGTTTGGGGAACATCTGTAACGGTTCCCGTTACAATTAGCACTAGTTCAATTTGCAATAGAAGTAATATTGATACAGAAGAAAAGCAAGGTAACTATTTCACATTTTCTCCCTTCATGTCATGCTGCTTGATTACAATAGCTTGACCAGACTGATTCTATATCAACAGTACATGTACGGGACTGATGCCATGTTGATATCATGGTTACCCACCTTCTTTACATCTTGTTTACTTTTTCTAAAAAATGAATGCACAAATCTCACACTCCTATAGTTTGTGTTATAGTCTTCTGATATAATAATCATTTTAAAATTCTAAGTCCTATTTCATAGGGAGCGAAGAAAATATGGCAGACATTGAAGCTCATCCAGATGAAGTTAGAAAACCTTTTTTAAATGAGGAAGAAGAGAAGAAAAAAGATGAAGAGAATGAAAGGAATGGTAAGCCATATACATATTGATAAAAAGATATTTTTCGCCCAACTGTTCAAAATCAAAAGATCTTTTGGCAGGCTGAGACCACAATAGTCGAGTTTCTAGCCATATGTCTTTCTATTTTTCTGTGAAGGATTATTTATTCAAACTGTTACTCATTATCAAATTGTTGATTTAGACGCATAATTTAGACCCAGTACAACCAAAAATTATCAAATCTTACCACCTTTCCAGTTAATGCGTCTTTATGCCTCATGTCAATCAAAACTTAACTTACAATCACCTACATTTGGTATCATCATGGTATTTAGATATTTCAAATACGAGCTATAATGTTTTTGAGTTTTCAGCTTTGTCAGTGTGGCATCTTACCTCAATTTTGGCATCTCCACGTAAGTGAAAAGTTCTCGAGAGGGATGTTAAAGAAAACAAACAGAAACATTAAGATAAGAAATCAATTTATTTGGAGAAAAGAACTAAATATAGTAAACCTTCCCCATGAAGGAACATATATTACATAATAAACCTTATATATTTTATATTTTCTATAAGGGATGGGTTAATGAAGGGGGGAGGAGCACTTCTTCCCAGTCTTTTCCGAATATAGTATTGTATTACAGTGAATGTTCCATTACACACTCGTCCCCCTTTTTATTCCCTGCTTTAAGTGCAAGCACTAGCACTTTTTTGATGGTCACATTATCTTGAAAAGTTGCCTCACACACTTTTTTATGCCCCGCCATTAATATTGCCCGGGCATATAGTGTTTGTCATGTCTGTCTTCCGTCCTTCTGTCCTTCCGTTTGTCCTTGCGTCACACTTTGCGTTTAGTTCTGTTCAAAACAAAGTTTCAAAGAAACTACTCAAGATATTTCATCAAACTTCATATGCAGGTATTGATTAGAGCTATGCAACTGCATCAACATTTTTTACCTTGACCTTTTCTTTGACCTTGACATCACTTTTCTTAAATTAGTATTTAGCTCAGTTTAAAAAAATATCATACAAGATGTTGTTATCAAACTTATGATGTTGATACAAACTTGCATGGATGATGCATCTAAGGATGGACACTTTCAGACTTGCTTCAGATGCTGGATGAAGGAAGGATATGGAGATAACGAACAGTATTCAATTTCAACGTCCATTTAACAATATACAAAATAAAAGAGCAGAGCAAACACGGACCTCCGAAACATCAGACGTGGGAACAGGTGCCATGGAGGAGTGAGCATCCCCTGCCGACCGGTCACACCCGCCGTGTGCTCGTTGTCAGTGTGTAAATAATGGACTAACAATTGGTATGAAAAACGTCAGTCAGCATTTGACTCAATGACAGCGATTTTTTTCCACCAATTGGGAATGGGTCCGATACCGGTTCAATTGGGAAAAATAATATCGAAGAAAAACAGACAAATTTTCTCTCATTTATGCAAATGCAATGTATTTTGCGTTTATTCTAAATTAATTACCTATTACTCATTGTTTTAAAGAATAAGCAACAAGTACTTATTGTTTTTTATATCAACGTCCCATGCTTTGACATTTTCATGCTTTCAATTTGTCGAAATGTATGACACCAGTGGCGTAGCATCGTTTTTGAAAGTGGGGGGGGGGCAGGCAGAGAAAAAAATTTTTACTTACCTGAAAAAGTTGACAAGCAAAAAAAAAAAAAAAAAAAAAAAAAAGGGAAAAGTTGCCCAAAGTAGAAAATCCTGTAAATCCTATTTCGTGGTGGTGGTGGTGGTGGTGGTGGGGGGGGGGGGGGGGGGGGGGGGGGGGGGGGGGAGGGGGGGGGGGGGGGGGGGGGGGGGGGAGTAGGTAAACTTTTTTCTCAGTGACAACTACTTTTAGTACCAATTCTTATACCACATTTTCGGTACATTTCTAAAAGTGGGGGGGGGGGCCAACCAGGCTTTCAATTTACATTTCCTATAGTGTAAGTTAGGTTGGGAAAAAAGTGGGGGGCCAGGCCCCCCCTGGCCCCCCCGGATACTACGCCCCTGGACACTACGCTGTCTAACCCACATGTCCCGCCAAATTACGACTTTCTCTACTTTCGATTTAAGTGGAAGTGATCAATTAGTTAACTTGTACAATGATTCATTTAACAAGAAATACGATGTTGTCGTAGTCTGTTGCATCACAGTTGAATTGGGAATTTTTAGTCACAGAATTGGGAAAAATTAACGTTTTTTAGCATTGGGAACGGTGCCGTTTATCGGTACCAGTTATATAAGGAAAAAAAACGCTGAATGATAAATTGTATTTGCTGACAAGGTCATTGTATCGACCATAGAATTTACGAAATGATGACTTTAAACGAGACTGTTGATATTCTTGTTTCATCTACTTGCTTGTCAATAATTTACCTCGTTTAAGAAATTGTTCATACATAGAACACGCTCTTGCGTATCGAATCAACAGAGATATATATACTCCGTATGCAGGTGATGAAGGTATATTGCTGCATAAGTAAATGAAGTTGACGATAGAAAAGTTAAAGTCATCACGTTTATCATATAGCTTGGTTGTTAGATTACAATTAGTGTCTTTTTCAAGTAAAATATCCAAGTATGAAGCAGAAGTGTCGGACTCTGTGGTATCTTTTATCTCAAGCTCACCAGGATATATCGTATCGACGTAGGAATGGAAATTATCATTATTAATTGACAATACGTCGTCGATATATCTAAATGTCGAGTTGAAGGCCACAACAAGTGTTTTCTTCTTTTCACGCATAAGATTTTGCATAATTCTGCTTCATATGAATGTAAAATAAGTCTGCTATTAACGGAGCGCAATTTGTACCCATGGGAATTCCAATAGATTGTTGGAATACCTGGTCTCCAAAAACCACATAGATATTGTCAATCAGAAACTCAAGCATCTTCTTGATGTCAACTTCAGAGTACTTATGTCTGCAATCAGAATCTGTTTTAACAAAATAATTTTTCAAATGACCAGTGACGAGGTAAGTAAATTTACGAGTTCCATATTTGTTGAAGAAGCAGCTGTCAATGGATCTGACCTACATTTTCCAGATGATTGACCATGTTAAAGTTTTAGGAGCAGGCCCATTTCCAAGGACCTATAAGCCCTACGCAAACCAAACTTGCACTGAAAATGAGTGACCAGGTTAAAGTTTTTGGAGCAGGTCCATTCCAAAGGAACTATAAGCCCTACTTGGACTAAACTTGCATGGATGATTCATCTAGAGATTGACACAACCAGACTTGCTTCGGATGCTGGACCTGACCTTATTTTAATTCCCAAGCAACTATAAGCCCTGCCTGAACCAAACTTGCAAGGATGATGCATCTAGGGATTAACACTACCAGACTTGCTTCGGATGCTGGATCTGACCTATATTTTCATTTCCAAATAACTATAAGCCCTGCCTGAACCAAACTTGCATGGATGATGCATCTAGGAATGGACACTACCAGACTTGCTTCGGATGCTGGATGTGACCTACATTTTCATGCCCTAGTAACCAGAAGCCCTACCTGATCCAAACTTGCATGGATGATGCATCTAGGGATAGACACTACCAGACTTACTTCGGATGCTAGACTTGACCTTATTTTAATTCCCAAGCAACTATAAGCCATGCCTGAACCAAACTTGCATGGATGATGCATCTAGGGATGGACACTACCAGACTTGCTTCGGATGCTGGATCTGACCTACATTTTTATTCCCCAGTAACTATAAGCCCTACTTTAACCAAACTTGCATGGATAATGCATCTAGGGATGGACACTACCAGACTTGCTTCGGATGCTGGATCCGACCTATATTTTCCAAACAAGAGACGAATGTGAAGTTCTTGATATCTACAGTATTAACAAAGTTATGAATATTTGTTCACACTATACATGTTTTTCAAGCTACATATGTAGAAATGTGTATATGCCATGTAAGGGTTTAAACATAACTTTCAAAGATACATTGTTGTTGGGATAAATACTAAATATTTAGAAAATATGATGTGAGAATTGCATTTAACTTACACTGATAACATTCGTCGAGGTGATCTTTGTAATCTTTGATTACCTATGTTTTATTTAAGACATCATTTCTATATATTTTTATCAAACTTCATCTGTTGATACATACTGATGAGAGATATGCAACTGCATCAACATTTTTGACCTTGACCTTTCCTTTGACCTTGACCTCACTTTTCCTAAATCAGTGTCAAGCTTCATATGCTGATACATACTGATGTAAGCAATTCAACTGCATCAACAATTTTGACCTTGACCTTTTATTTCTTGATATTTTTAACTTCTTATTTTGATAAATATCATCATTTTTTACCTTTACCTTTCATTTGACCTTGACCTCGCTTTTATCTATTTTTTGTTTAAGTCAGTTTAAAAGAAACCATTTATAATTATATTTTCAACTTCATTTGCTGATTCTTACTGATGAGAGGTTTTCAACTGATTCAACAGTTTTTGACATTGGTATATCCATTGACCTTGACCTCACTTTAATTAAACTGGTGTCAAACTTCATACAGTCAAGGGCATCACGGAAACAAGTTTTTTAAAAAAATGATTTGTTTAAGTTATTAAATGTCAACGTTTTGGGTTCCCTGATTATGCTTTTCATCAGTAACTTATTCCAGTTATTGATACATAACAATTCATTATTGTAAACCTACTGGTATCTTAAAGGCTTTAGTCATGCTGTGCTTGAGTTATTAAGTAGAGGGAAAAGGTTTACAGTTCATGACAGTAAAAGTAATCTATCTTTAAGATCTAGTACGTTTAAATTCCACAAATCATAACTTATTTCTCTTATTTCATCCTTAACCCACCTCACTTGAACTCTTGCAGAAAAATATACAGCTTTGCACAAAAAAATGTAAGACTAAGAGATTGTACAGTAATGTCCAAAGATTATACGAAAATTAGTCTCAGTTTTGGCAAAATTGGCGGAATTTGTGTAATTGACCCCTGAAATGTCCATAAAATGAAATTATTTTTCCTTTAAAAAATCATGATATTTTTTTAATTATCATCTTATCTGCTCAGAAGATATTAAGTCTGTTGAGTTTATTAAAAGAAGTACATATATTTACAACTTTCTCAGCCTTACATCATCTTTAATCAGCAGAAAACTCATTATATTGATGTTTTTTGGCAAGACTGATAGGCATTCTACTTTTTAAGAGATAACTCAAATGAGTAACTTTTTTGTATAGTCATAAATAATTAAAGTAACCTAAACAAGTTATTTTAAAGAATAACTTGATTCCATGATGCTCCTGACTGTCATTTGCTGATACATACTAATGTAAGCAATTCAGCTGCATCATTATTCAAGAAATTCTGATCAAATTTTATATACATACAAATTTTCATGTTGCTTTACTAATATATCTTCGGCGGGGCATTCATGTCATATGGACATATTTCTAGTTGTTGATCTGCTTGTCAGTTAAGTTTGGAAATTTGTCACAATTCCCTTTGCAAGCGTTGCTACGAAACTGTTGCAAAGGTAGAAAAAGTATCAGAAAGCTTTACAAAGTAACCATTCCATATTTTTTCTTATCTCGCTGACATGCTTCTTGATAATAATAAGCTCATGAGACTGACTTTCTGTCAATGTTATTAGTAACGGACCTGATAAATTGCTTGAAATCACGGTCAGTCATCAATTGTGCATTTTCTTTGGGTTTTTTCATAAAAGATGCATGAAAATCTCCCACTCCTACATTTTGATAAATTTTCTGCTAATACTCCATGTCCTATTTTCATAGATAGCAAAGGATATAAACAGACTTTAGACTTTGAAAGTAATCTAACAGAGGATGAGAATTCTTTTGAGTGTAATGAAGAGGAGGAGAAACAAGATAAAGAGAATAAATGGAAAGGTTTGTCTAGTTTATGTTAAAAAAGACATTTTAACTCAGTTGTTCAAAATCAAAAATAAATAGCTTTTGGCAAGGAAATAGCAGAATGGCCATATATAGCAGAATGGCCTTGTCAGCAAATACAATTTATCATCGAGTCAAATGCTGACTGACGTTTTTCATACTATTTGTTGGTCCATTTTTTATTCACTGAATTGACGACGGATTTTTTCCGTTATTTTCGTTTATGACAAGGAGCACACGGCGGATGTGACCGGTTAGCAGGGGATGCTCACTCCTCCGTGACACCTGATCCCACCTCTAATGTTTTGAAGGTCCATGTTTGCTCGGCTCCTATTTTGTATTGTTTTATTGACTTTTGATCTTGATTACTGTACGTTATCTCCATTTGTTTTATTAGTTTACAATAGAATTAAGAAATAGTGATATCATTGATATAGATGACAAGACTTTGTAATTCAGAAAGTGATTTGTCTAATCACTCACATAATTGTGTGAAATTAACAGTAAAATCAAAAGGCAAAATGATGGATATTCGATACTAAAGATTCAGAAAGTATTTTGAACATCATTCATTTAGAGACGTTATTGTTGTTCATTAAAGGAACTGAGGTTTAACATATATAAGCAAAGATGCTGTCATCAATTGAACTGAAGAAAAAAATTCTTACAATTTAATTATTGGTTATGGGCCAATTATTTAATGAATGTAAGTACATGTAATTAATTTTCAAGCTCTTTTGAATGCCCTTTGAACGGCGACTGAGCAGATGTAGAAGATTCCGTTTTCCATCTTTGATTTCTTTGATATTTTTAAAAGATGATGGAAAAACGAAAATATTAGATGAAATTCGAGAGAGGGAATGGTCATCTACGCAAAACACTGTGGAAAAAGCAGAAAGTGAAAGTACTGAAACCGATGAGAATCAAAGTAATGAAGCAGGTAATAAAGATAAAGATGTAAAATTGCATGCTTTGGACAACAGGGAAGAAAGTTTAATCCCTAAACATGTGATTTCTACAACATCAAATCAAACTCCAAAGAGTGATATAAATCAAGAAGACAGTGGGAACTTACAGGATGACAACAAAATGTCTGTCTGTTCCACTGGTGGTTTTGAAAAAGAAGGAGGTAATTCCTCTGAGCATAAATCTGATGAAAAGGGCAGAAGAAATGTAACTAATGCAGAGGATACTGGTGGAAGTGTTGACAGTTTTGAAAACAACCATGGAAATGAAAACACTGTAGACCCTTCTAATAGATTGACAGAAGGCAGTGTTGATCAGGATGGGAATTTAGATGCATGTAAACCTATCCCTGACAGTATTGTAGAAACAGGTTAGATATTTCATTGTATTGCAATTTTTTTTGTAAAGTGGCTTTACAATTGCTTCATATTTGTTATTTTCTATGCAGCTTTTTTTCAGAAATTATAATATTGGTTTAAAGACAGATTATTAATATTAAAAATAAGTATTGCTTATCTTTTAATATTTTGGTGTATTTCACAGAAATACATCAGATACAAGCAATATTAAGGCCCCCATAGTTTGTACATGACGACTTCTGTCTGTCTTTTTTTTTAGCTCTACTGGTCAGAAATCAGAAGAGCTTATGCAATAGTAATGCGTCCGGTGTCCGTCCGTTTGTCTGTCTGTAAACAATTTTTCAAAATGCTACTCCTCCCTACAGTTTTGGTCTGATTTCAATATAATTTGGCACGCAAGTAGACCATACTAAGATACATAATTCTGTGTATCGGTTTTTGATTCCGATGAACAGTGTTGCCTTGGTTACTAAAAATAGAAATTTCTGTGATTTTTTTTTCAAAATGCTACTCCTCCTACAGTTTTGGTCTGATTTCAATATAACTTTGCACACAAGTAGACCATACTAAGATACTTAATTCTGTGTATCAGTGTTTGATTTTTGATAAACGGTGTTGCCATGCTTACTGTGGTACTAAAATTAGAAATTTCTATGAAATTCTTTCAAAATGCTACGTCTCCTACAGTTTTGGTCTGATTTCAATATAACTAGGTACACAAGTAGACTACACTAAGGTACATAATTCTGTGTATCAGTTTCTGATTTTGATTAATGGTGTTGCCGTTGTTACTAAAAATAGAAATTTATGTGAAATTGCTTCAAAATTCTACGTCTCCTACAGTTTTAGTCTGATTTCAATACAACTTGCCTAACAAGTAGATACACAATTCTTTATATCGGTTTTTAGCTCACCTCAACGAAGTTGGGGGAGCTTATGTAATACCCTTGGCGTCGGTGTCGGCATGGCGTTCACGTCGGCGTCGGCGTCCCAGGTTAAGGTTAAGTTTTTCGGAGCAGTTTTCTTTTTAAGTACTTCTATGTCCTATATTGATAAGACATGCATGGAAGATGGTTCTAGTGTGTTTCATTGTACCAGTCAAAGTTTCAGATGCTGCAATTTCAGCAAAGGAATGACCAGGTTAATGTTTTTGGAGCAGGTTAACATTTTTGGTGCAGTTTTTGGTGTAGGTTTCATTTCCAAGTAACTATAATCCCTATGTTGACCAAACTTGCATGGATGATACATCTGAGGATGGATACTACCGGGCTTGCTTCGGATGCTGAATCTGACCTACATTTTCCGGTTGAGTGAACAGGTTAAGGTTTTTGGTGCAGGTTTCATTTCTAAGTAACTATAAGCCCTATGTTGACCAAACTTGCATGGATGATACATCTAAGGATGGATACTACCGGGCTTGCTTCGGATGCTGAATCTGACCTACATTTTCCGGTTGAGTGAACAGGCTAAGGTTTTTGGTGCAGGTTTCATTTCCAAGTAACTATAAGCCCTATGTTGACCAAACTTGCATGGATAATACATCTAAGGATGCATACTACCGGGCTTGCTTCGGATGCTGAATCTGACCTACATTTTGCGGTTGAGTGAACAGGTTAAAGTTTTTGGTGCAGGTCTCATTTCCAAGTAGCTATAAGCCCTATGTTGACCAAACTTGCATGGATGATACATCTAAGGATGGATACTACCGGGCTTGCTTCGGATGCTGAATCTGACCTACATTTTCCGGATGAGTGAACAGGTTAAGGTTTTTGGTGCAGGTTTCATTTCCAAGTAACTATAAGCCCTATGTTGACCAAACTTGCATGGATGATACATCTAAGAATGCATACTACCGGGCTTGCTTCGGATGCTGAATCTGACCTACATTTTCTGGTTGAGTGAACAGGTTTAAGTTTTTGGTGCAGGTCTCATTTCCAAGTAACTATAAGCCCTATGTTGACCAAACTTGCATGGATGATACATCTAAGTATGGATACTACCGGGCTTGCTTCGGATGCTGAATCTGACCTACATTTTGCGGTTGAGTGAACAGGTTAAAGTTTTTGGTGCAGGTCTCATTTCCAAGTAACTATAAGCCCTATGTTGACCAAACTTGCATGGATGATACATCTAAGGATGCATACTACCGGGCTTGCTTCGGATGCTGAATCTGACCTACATTTTGCGGTTGAGTGAACAGGTTAAAGTTTTTGGTGTAGGTTTCATTTCCAAGTAACTATGAGACCTATGTTGACCAAATTTGCATGGATGATACATCTAAGGATGCATACTACCGGGCTTGCTTCGGATACTGAATCTGACCTACATTTTGCGGTTGAGTGAACAGGTTAAAGTATTTGGTGCAGATTTCATTTCCAAGTAACTATAAGCCCTATGTTGACCAAACTTGCATGGATGATACATCTAAGGATGCACACTACCGGGCTTGCTTCGGATGCTGAATCTGACCTACATTTTGCGGTTGAGTGAACAGGTTAAAGTTTTCATCAAGAGATGAAAATTCTCAAATTTGCTTCAGATGCTGGATTTTGATTACATTTTCATGAAGAAGAACTAGTTTAAATTGTTTATGTAGGTCTATTTCAAAGTATCAGATCAAAATTGCTTAAATATTTTCATTTTTGGAATGTACACTTTTTGTTGGTTAATTGTGTGACTTTGCCTTACTTAAAGACAACATTCGTTGAGGTGAGCTCTGTAATCTCTGATTACCTATGTTTGACTTCGATGAACATTATTGCCTTAGTTACTAAAAATAGAAATTTCTGTTAAATACTCTCAAAATGCTACTCCAAATACAGTTTTAGTCTGATTATAATATAATGTTCCATGCAAGTAGACTTCACTTAGAACATAAAGAGACTTATAATCAAGGATCATTATTCTATTTATTGCTGTTGTAAAATTTCAATTCCCAACTGCTTAAGTACTTTTCTCTTCCTTTGCTATAAGTACAAACCAGTAGAGCTTCATGCAGTCTCGACAGAGACTTCTGTTTTTTGTATGAAATAATTTTTCAAAACACTGCCACTTGTACTGTTTAGGTCTGATTTCAAAATAACCAGGCACAAAAGTAGAGTACACTAAGATACATAATCATTTAAATCAGTTTTTAGCTCACCTCAAGAAAGCTTATGTAATACCCTCGGTGTTGGCGTCCCAGGTTAAGGTTAAGTTTTTTGGAGCAGATTTCATTGATGGCTCTGAAAAATAAGTAAAATTTTGATAAAAAAAAATAAAGTAAAAAGTAACCAGTGCAGAAATCATGTTTACTGATGGAATTGTTGAAAGTATTCAAAATAGCAATGAAAATGAAAACATTAAAAACCCTTCTATTAATTTGACAGAAGAAATTTTTGTTTAGGATGGGAATTTTGAAGCATGTAAACCTAACCCTAACTGTATTGTAGAAACAGGTTAGATGTTTCAATGTATTCGAACGATCATATTTTAGGAGATTTTTACAATTTCTTCATTTTAAGCTCTACTGGTCAGAGACCAGACAGAGCTTATGCGATAGTAATGTGTCCGTCGTCTGTCTGTGTGTCTGTAAACGATTTTTCAAAATGTTACTCCACTAACAGTTTTGGTCTAATCTAAATATAACGTAGCACACAAGTAGAATACACTATGATACAAAATTCTGTGCAACGGTTCTGCCGTGGTTACTAAAAATAGAAATTTCTGTGAAATCCTTTCAAAATGTAACTCCTCCTACATTGTTGGTCTGATTTCAATGTTACTTGACACACAAAAGTACTACAATTAGATACATAATTCTGTATATCGGATTTTGATTTCAATTAAGGGTGTTACCGTGATTACTAAAAATAGAAATTTATTTGAATTTTTTTCAGAATGCTTCTCCTCCTGCAATTTTGGTCTGATTTCAGTATAACTAATGGACAGTACCTTATTTACTTCGTATACTGGATTTGACATATATTTTCCAGATGAGTGAACAGATTAAAGTTTAAGGAGCTGCTCCATTACCCAGTAACTATAAGCCCTATCTTGACCAAACTTTCATGGATGATGCATCTAGATATGGACATTACCAGACTTGCTTCGTATTCTGGATCTGACCTATATTTTCAAAATTAGTGATCTGGTTAAATTTTTGTAGCTGGTCCATTCCCAAGTTACTAAATGCCCTACCTGGACCAAACTGGCATGGATGATGCATCTACGAATGGACACTACCAGAATGCTTCAGAAGCCGGAGGATCTTACCTACATTTTCCCCATGAGTGACCAGGGTATTATTTCTGGTGTAGCTCTATACATATATAGCCTGTGATGGTTAATTTTAATTTTGCATCTTAGGATGGCATTTTCTAGATATGCTCAACATTTGGAACCAATATTCATTTAAGCATTGAATTCATATTTCTGGCTGTCTTCGGTCCTATAACACACCTGGCCGTGCCGACAAATTGAATACCGCGCGTTAGCGCGGTATGATAAATTTGTCGGCACGGCCAGGTGTGTTATAGGACCGAAGACAGCCAAAAATATGAATTCAATGCTTATATTTACATTCTTTAATTTTCCTTCTTCATAATTGCTTATTTCATTAACATTTAATGTGAATTTAGCGCCCTTCAAATCTAACGTGGTTAATAGACGTAAGAGCCGTTTGTGACGTCAGATGACGTTAAGTGACGTTGCAGTTTAATTTCGCAAGCAAACATTGCGATTTAAAAGTGACAAATTAATTCTTAACGCATATTACGAAAATTTCTATATTAATTTTTCAGGGTTGTAGTTTTTCATTAAATTGAAATAAAACATTTTACATTTTGGTGTTTCTAGAGTATTAAAAATGCATGTAGTTCCTATACTGTGTATTCTAACGCGCGGTGACAAGGTTCCGCGTGTGTTATAGAAATTTGAACGTCGTAAATTTCTAATGGATTTGATAAGGAAAATTATACTGAATGTAAATATTTACATATAAATACATGTAATTTACAGTTTTGGAAAAAATCCATTTCCAAGTAATTATAAGTCC